TTTATCTACACCAAAAGTGGGCATTGCCCTACCCAAAGGAGAAGTTTGGTTTCATTGGTGTATTTGTTTGGTAAAAAAGAAAACTCCCCTTGTCATTTAAAGAAACCGAATATGGGGCAAAAACTTTACCTCCGATTTTCTCAAAACAGCATTTTTCGGGACAGCCCCCCTGTGCTTAAAAGCGAGCAATCAAATCTTTATCTCTAGGAGGACCGGCACAAAACACTGCACACTCTCTGTTCTTTGACATGGTATATGTATAACGCCCCTATCAAGACTATTAGTCATTAGGTTATCTAAGAGGCGGGGCCTCCGAGTTTAACGTCCATCTCCGAAAGGACCGAGTCAATTTAATGGGAAATTCGTCTAGAGTGCTCTCTGTTCGTTTTCTAGTTCTGTGGAGCCTACCTTCCATGAGCAGGTCGCCCATGGAGATGCGCTTGCGGTCTATGAGGACATCGCTGAGGACGGTGTTCACGTCTGTGGGCTTGAGGTCTATGGACGGGGACACGCCGCGACGGAACGCTGTGGACGCCCCTGGAGAGGTGGGATGAGGTGAGATTGAGGTGAGATTGAGATGAGATGAGATTGAGATAAGGGGATCTTGAGATGAGATGAGATGAAGTGAGGTGAGGTGAGATTAAGATGGGGTACGCTAGGATGAGGTGAGATAAGGTGAGGTGGGGGTGGGGTAGGAGGTGAGATGAGGTGGGATGAGGTCAGATGAGATAAACTACGTTGAGGCCAGGCGAGGTGAGGTGAGATGAGATGAGGAAAACTAGGATGATGTGAGGGGAAGTGGGGTGGTGTGTGGTGAGGTGAGGCGAGGTGAGTTTAGTTAGTTTTGGTAGAGGTTTTTCGGCGCTCGCAACTGCAAAGGTCATATAAGTGCCGGATATTAGAGGTGTTACAAGAAAGTAACAAACACAAAATAGAAGGAGGGGAGAAAAGGAAGACAGATATTTAATAGGAGCGAAGAAGCAAACCACACTAGAGCACCCGCCAACCACCCACGTGGGTAGAAGAGATGAGGAGAGATTGAGATGAGACGAGATACCAGATGAAGTAAGACAGGATGATGTGAGATAAGGTGAGGTGGGGTGGGGTGGGGTAGGGAGGGGAGGGGAGG